GGTAGATGCAAGCTGCCCGCTGTGGGCTCAGGGCTCTCCGCTCTGCTGCTTTTTCCTTGGGAGCCCCAAGCCGGCCATGCACTCACTGCCTGTCCAGCAGCAGAAGGCACAACTTGCCACCCCCACTGCTGCCAGGCAGGGAGAAGACGTGTGGCTGGCATGGGACTTCGAAGAGAAACGCAGCAGAGCAGAGAGCCCTAAGCGAGCAGACCTGCATCTGCCCCACACACAAATCTGGGGAAGCACATGGCATATGACCCCCCCCTCCATGTTTCCCCCCCGGGATATGCACAGCAGCTGGGAGCCCCCTGAACAAGCTAACCATGGCTCTGTTCTGCTCCCTGCCCCGGCTTCCATTGAGCGTCCCGACTGGGCAGCATTTCACATCCCAGCCCCTCTCCCTCCTTCACCATGGGGCTTCTATCTGCCCCACCACCATACCCTTTCTCCTCTACATACTTACATGCAGGGTGTTGCTCTCCATACTGCCCAGCTGCATTTCTAGCCATGTGTATGTGTGTGACTGCGAGCCTGCACGCAGCATCCAGGGGCATGAGCCAGAGGGCCTACTGTATTTATCAGTGACATTATGGGCTACGCCGGCCAAAAGAAGCCAATAAGTAATAAAGTTAATTTTCCTTTTAGTTGATGCTGGTGTGATATGCAACCAATATATCGGTGCACCTGTAATTTTAAGTCAAGAATTTCTGTCCAAAGAATGCTTTGCCACAAACAATCACAAATGTGAACCAATTTCAGAATTATTTCAAAATTACAATCATTTCAGTTTGAACAGCAATTTCCTCATCTTGTTGTGAATGTCTTAGATGCCATTTGTTTTTGTGCTCTTAAATGCGGGATCTACAGTGTCATTCAGTATCAAAAAAGCAGGAAAGAGGGCAAAGAAAACAGTTGCCAGAAGAAGCGGTTTTGAAAAAGCAACTAAGCAGATTCTGATACTATGAGTAATCATCATTATGTACCTCACTTGCTCTTTGGTAGATACCTAGATCAGGGATTTTCAACCTTTTTGGATCAGAGCACCCCCGGCAGCAGTGGTGTTTGGTGTACAGCCAAACATGGAGTGGCAGCAGCCAGCGTGTGCAAGCTTCCCTTGCACCCTGCATCTGGCTGGGCGGGTAGTGCCTCGCGGGATGATACATGACGGCACTCCATCCTTGCCTGCACATACCCCCTAGGGCCTTCTCAAGTACCCCCGGAGGTACACAAAAACCCCCAGTTGACAACCCCCAAACTAGATCATCATAAATAAGCAGTCTGAAAGAAGGAAAAATAGGATAAACTACAACAAATAAAAATTAAGGCTCACTAGAGAGAGATCTCTGTTTTGGTCTTTGTATGACTTCAAAGTAAATTTGTCAGAAGCAAAAATTCTAGTTCTCTGTGCCCTGATAATTCTCAAGATATTTAAAGAAAAAAGATTAATCCAACTTTTCCCATTCCAAAACTTTGTATTTCTGGATTTTGCCTCTTTTTTTTTTTTTTTTTTGAAAGCAAACAATCCACTGACCATCAACAGAAATTCAATTTTGAAAAAAACTAGATACACATGACCAGTAACGTGAACGTAACTTAAAGGAAGAGCTGAGTCTATCAAGTATGGTTCATTTGATAATGGAAATTTTTTTTATCCAAATGATGCACATTTTATAGACCTAGGGCTGCCTCCTCATTATGTCAATATGGCAGTCAAGTCCTATTACACAATTTAATCATAATGATACAATGTTATGATAGAATTCAGGCTTGTCTGTTTTGTTTTGTTTTTTATCCACAGCACACTCAAATACAGGTAAAAGGTGGGACGTGGAACAAAAGGAAACCACCTAAAGCTTAAAATAGATGTACCCAAGATGATGGTACTATTTGGTATGTTCTTACACGGGAGCTGCTTTGCCCCAGGTCTCAATCATTGGATTTTCCAAGAAGCCCTAAAGGTTGCACCCGTTTCTGGAAAACTTCTGTAGAAATAAGAAACTACAGCAGCAGCAATATTTAAATATCTTAATTGTGATTTTTGGTGTAATTTGTTTTTGCTGATGTACTTGTTCTGTTTATAAGAGTAACCTATGGACTCATATAGCAGTTATAAGACCAAGATTTGCTTCCGCTCCAGGTAACATGATTTTATTTACCAGTGATTAATGCAGTAAAATAAAATGTAGCAAGTTACAAACAATTTTCTCCCCTTAAAGTTCTACCTTACAGTGCTTAAATAAAAATGAGGCTAAAAGGGTATAATGTAATGAAAACCATATAATAATTTGAAAATATGAATAGAGTGCCTGCATTTTACACTTGGGATTGACAGCACTATTTCAGAGACTCCTTTTTGAGTACTACAATATTGATGATTGTAAATGAGGGAGAGAAAGAGGGAGATGGGAGGAAACCCATGTGGGAAGAGGGTTTCTGCCTGCAAATAACCCAGCTAAGTTTAGGAAGGAGAAGGGGGAAAAGAGGAAGGATGATCTCTGGATGACAGAAGCAGGAGTGGTTGGTGCAGGGTGCAGTTTTAAGGGTTTGGGGTACCATTTGGGTTTTATTACAACTGCCTTTAGCCTTCTTTAGCAACCATCCAGAAGCCAATGCAACATCTGACTCTGATGTAAATCAGAGATTCAGCCTCTGCCAAGTCACCAAGTAGCTGGAGATGAGTTTTTAGCAACCATTTTTCTCAGGACCCCCAAAACCAGATCACAAGGTTGAAACTGAGGGGCAAATCCTATCCAGTGACAGCGATCAAAGCATTCCTGTTAATTCTTTACAACAGGGATTGGCAGCCAAGAGTTGCAGAGGAATCATTTATCCAGCCTGTGGAGCCAAGGGTTTTTCATCCATGATTGCGGCCTGCACTTTTCAGGAGCAGCACCCCCACCACACACCCCATTGCAAAACATTACCAACCCCTTGCTTCAGAAGACTTTATTCTGCTAACCAAGACCATCTCTATTTACATAGACAGAATTTCAACCATATGTTTTCTAGCTATACTCTTACCTCATTAATGCAGGGCAAGAAAAACCATCTAAATATTACAAGTTCAACAGCCACATGTCAGCAATAACTGACATCAACTGCTTCTCCAAGTAGTTTCATGCATATGTTGATCAAGACAAACAATGAAGTGACCAATTTAGCAATTCCTAGTGTAATTGCTCACTGTAATCTTCTGCTATGACTAAAAACAATAAATTTACTTTTGTTCTTATTTGTTTAGAATAGGAAACACTGGGTGGATCAACACATACACTTATGGTGCTGTAGTTACGGCACTGTCATTTAGTACTTCTGGAAGTACTAAATGATGGCACAGTAACAGCCCATACTATGCTGTGCACACCATTATTTTTAGCTGCTACTTTGCTGTAGTGATGCGCAATACAGAGAGAATGCATCGCTAGAGCTATGTAGCTGTGGCATTGTGGTTTTTGCCTAAAGATGCTATGGTGATGTAGCATCATGTGTAGACATACCCACTGTATCAGGACACTGAGGTGAAGCCGCTTTTATTTAGTAAAGATGACCTGGATAAGCTGATTACACCTATGCATTTTCAGGAAAGAGACAATTTACTCAATTCATACATTCTGGCATCCCACAGTTCTTATGGAAGCCCAGAATGCACAGGGCTTTTCTTTTTGAAAAAGAGTAGGGCTAATTTTAGTATCCCCAAAGATCTGAAAGATTGCTAAATAACCATGTCATGCAAGAAATAATTTAAAATGTATTTTAAATAAAAGTTGTGAACGCCTTTAGTCAAGAGCAGAGATATCAGATTGGATAGGGCCAACATACTGGCCCTGCACTCTGGAGCCAGAGTGCACAGGGCTGATCCAAAGCATGCACTGCATGCAGCACCCACCCTACACTGGCCCTGGCCACTGGATTCAGCACAAAGGGCTGGTCTGTGGGCCCAATCTAGTCCCACATGCAACATGTGGGCCTGGCTCCACACATGGTATGTAGGGCAAGCCAGAGCAGCTTCGCAAGTCACATGCAGTGCACAGGGTCAGTCCAAAACCCACAGGCAACACCACAGCCTGGATGGCAGGGCTCCACAGGCTGCATCTTTGACACCCAGGCACAGAATAAACAGAAGTTTAGTTAAATGGTAAGACTTTCTCTGCTGTTTCCAGGAGACCAAAATACTTTAAGTGACCAATCCTAAAGCTTTCCTTTTCCCTTAAAACTTAGCTTCATAGAAACAGAATGGCTTTTGCCATGTTGACCAAAAAAAGAGGCAATGATCCACAGATGTGCCCCATCAACATGGCCCTACACAAGGATTCTCTCTAGGTCTGCCCACTGTCTAAGTCTTGTGAGCCCACTACCTTTGACAGTCTCTCTCACAGATCTAACAGATTTGCCATCTCTTTTCCTCCTTACCAACAAAGCCATCCCCCTCAATGGTTCCCCTTCAAGTCCCCAAATCTCTCCCTGGTGTGGGCAAAGCCATCAAAGCTACAGTCTTCTCTGCCACTATGGAGGCAGCTTCTCAAATGGGCCAGTTCCCAATCTTCCAGGAGGCTGCCAGCATCCCATTCCCTACTGCCAAGCAAACAAAGTGATGACCGACTGTGTTAGGTCAGGGTCCAAACCAAGCAGGCGAAGCTCTGCTCACCCACACCGGGCCCTGCCCAATTTTCCCAGCTGTGTGCTTCCATCTGCCCCGTTTAAAAGTTAGTTTACGCCACAAGAAACACCAGTAAAGACGTCGTACGTAAAAAGAGGAGGGGGGCAGCCACTGCTCTCATCTTTGCTAATCTGCACCTATTCCACCCCGCTCCCCCCAAAAAAGGAAAGGAGCAGACGCGGTGGCTGCGCTGGTTTCAATCCCGCTTTAAACACCTGCCCGCGGCCCACGGACTGCAGGCGAGAGGCGGCCGCGGGGCCCGCCTGCCAGCTCCCGGCCTCCCCGCGCTGGCGAGGCCCGAGGAAGGAGGGGAGGGGGAAGGGAGGCGAGGGGGCGGCCTCACCTTTGCGCAGCTCGCGCTCCCAGACGCTGACGATGAGCGCCGAGTGCTTGCGGTGGTGGATGAGCCAGAGGCTCAGCGTCTGCACGCTCTGCTGCGAGTTGCTCAGCTCCGACAGCTTCCGCTCCAGCGCCGCCTCCGAGAAGGCCGACATCCCGCCCGCAGCCCCCGGCCCGACGCGAACAAAATGGCGGCGGTACTGGGGGCTACAGCCGAGGCAGGCCTTACGTCACTTCCGGGATGGGCCCCGCGGGAGGGAGAAGGGACAGGAGCCGCCCCGCCCATTCCGCACATCCGGGAAAGCGAGAGCCCCGCCCCTCCCTGTGGGAGAAGCCTCAAGGTGGAAGGGCGGGGCCAGAGGAGGTCGCTCTCTCCTCCCTCAAGTGCCGTAACTGTCAAGTCTGAAGCAGCAGGCCATTTAGCGTAGTTGTGCTATAAGCTCGGAGCATTTTTGAGGCAGCCTATGCAAAACCCAAGTCACTCTCAGGCAGTCTTAACTGACTTTGGGGTTTGCTGTCAGTATTTTGCTATCACAGCTCGCCGCGAAATAAATGTTTCAACGTCAGTACTGCCAACTTCCATGATTTTTGGCGTTTTTAAAGTCTTTGCATCAGGAACGTGAAGAATGTAGTTTAGACAGACGGACAGACGCTCCTGAAGCAAACACATTAAGAACAATGCTGAAAATCATGAGAGTTGGCAATACTGCAACTTTGATGACCCAGTTCCCATTCACTCACTGGTGACTTACAGTGGGCAATATAAAGTAAATAAGACTTACTTGCATATGCACATGTATGCTTTTTTGCATATTTCTCTGTGGACCATAGTTTTTCAGCAAATAAAGATAATTTTAAGCTTCCAGTAGCAACATTTCATATTTAGCACCTGGCAACACTATTGCAAATCATGAGCCTTGGCCTAGCCAGTGGTGAGCAGCCCAGGGAGGTGCCAGGCATGGCATATCTTGCCTTGCCTCTTAGAGAGTGTTGGACTCCCCCTTGCTCCTGGCATGGGCAAGACTGCGGGCACCAGGCTCCTCCCACCCGGCCCCACCACACTCACAGTGCCAGTGGCCAATCCTTGAAGATGAAGCCTCCCCCTTTCCTCCTGACACCCCATGCCAGTGTTACCAGGCTTATGGTAATGACCATATTTGTACAATAATTTCAACCCTTGTGCAATGTATGATCAATAATAGTAAAAATTCACAATGTATGATAATTTATTGACCTAGCATATGCAAAACCCAAGTCACTCTCAGGGAGCCTTAGCTTTTTTTTTTTTTTTTAATTTTGTGTATCCCAGGCCAAATTAGCCAATACCGATTCCAAATCCAACAGTCCACAACCGTAAGGAGCCCTATTACTGGCAAATATCCTCCACCCCCAACTGGGGCTTCAGATGTTCCCAAAACCTTTGGCAGCCATCCTTCTTTCAGGCTCAAGCCCAGAGGCTTGGGGTTCAGATGCCCCTGAGTTTTGCTTGCCCTCAGCTGTAAGGCCCCAGGACCAAGCCAGGGACAAATCCCGTTTCCATAAAGTGGGCTTAAAGCCAAGACCTTCCCACTCCAACAGCTAAGTAGGAGGTTTACTATACATTACCTTGGCAGGTAATATCCCCAAGTCAGGAGAGCAGTCTTCTCTAGTGCAGCTAGGAAGACAGCCCCAGAGGTCACAGTGTTTCCCTTACCACGCAAGGGCAGACTACGCTAGATCTGAGCCTTCAAGAGACCAAGAAGAAGTTTGCAGTCAGCACTTCTTCATGGTTGTTTGCTTTAAAAGAAAGAAATGCTTCAACTTTGATGACCCAGTTCTCACTCGCTGGCGACTATCACTCACTCTCGGACTATCCATGCACCGCCTGTGGACTGACTGCCTGGCCTCATGCCAGGGGGTTGGTGACCTGAGCCACCTCATGCAGCTCCAAGGGTCTTGGTCCCTCTCAAATCCTTTGTGTGCCAGCTGTGCACTGCTTGCCACACTCCCTCGTGGCAGGGCTGGGGGACGTGGCTGTTTGCCACGCCCCGTTCGGCAAAGAGTCTTCGGGCTCTTCAGGGGCAACAACTCTGCCCTGCTGGCCAGCTCTTCTTCAGCCCTCTTCATCCCCCAGTGCAGTTGCCCATGTGCTGGACACGCTCCCTTTTAATTCCCTCCAGGGACTCCACCCCCAGATTGAAAATGGATCAATCGGAATTGGGGGGGGGGGTTGGTCCTCACTCATGTCCTGCTCTTCACCTTGCCCCAGGGTAGGGGTGGGGCAAGCCTTTCCCCTGCCTTCATCCGATTGGTGGGAATGCCCCACCTATCACTCAGAGCCTTTCCAAGTCAGCAAGCTGAGCTGTTACAAGCGTACCCACCACAAATGTATGCAAAAAACTATTTGTTTTCACAATGCGTGCTTTCCAGTTCCTCCTACCCTTGCACTTCAACCTGTAGCTATTGAATTGGCTGGAGCTATGAACCATGTAGGGGTCATTTTCATTTTTTACCTCTTCAATAAAAGGCTACAATAGCTGACCTTGTATTATTTGTTTAGTTGGTAGAGAAATCTGAGTCATCATTAAAGGACAAAGTAGCTTTAGCTTGGGATAAGGATATTTAGCACTTAACTGAGCAAGCTACTTAGACAAGTTACATAGGTATGTAACTTTGAAGCCTGTGAATAACCCAAATAATAACATTCATATACACCTAGCTGAATTGAGGCTTTACAGCACAACAGGTTCTTCAGAAGTTACATATTCCCAATGAATATAAATATATTTTAATCTGCATTTCATTTTGTATCATGTAATTTTTTGGAATTAGATTTTATTTTGCTTTTAATTTCTTCCTTTTTTCTTGAGCACTTAGACTGGAGGAAAAAAATGCTTAAGAAGCCTAAGGTGTTTTCTCCAGCCATTTTTTCCCAGATCCCTATAGGTTTTCCACATCTTTTCACATATTTCTCTAGCTGCAGGCTTTGAATTTTACAGGGAGCTTTTCTTTCTTTCTTTTTTTTTTCCTCCTTGCAAATCAGGTAGAGATATTACAGAACCTTTTTTCTGTAGTATTGGCACAGGACCCATTCTTTTTAACTCAGACCAGGGGCAAGTTCCTGAACTGTTTCCAGGAGCTGGTGTGAGTGCAGTCATAAAATGAAAGAAAGGGAGTGGGGACCCAAAAAAAAAAAAAAAAAAAAAAA